CGTGTTCATTTGATAATGGAAGATTCATCAGGTCAAAAAGTTCTGAAACCACTGTTCTAGAATTGAATCTCTGGTCTGCGAATCGTATCGCCCGTGACATGAACTTAGTATTTCATGCATATTTATTTGTCTTCGTCCGAGGGATTAATCCAATCAGAGTTTGCTATGCCGACTTCAACTTGACGTCATAGATTTTATTCGATCGCGATTACCTATTGGAATTCGACAAATCAAGCTGGCTGGTTGCTAATTAATAATCCCTAGCTTTTAAGCCTACGTTTGAATATATATATATATATATATATGTACGTGATGTATTATTGTATATATAAATATATGGTCTGTGTTTTAGGTCCAGGAACACCGAAAGAAAAGCCAGCAGCATATGCATGACCAATCGACTACGTTGCTTACTGTGCTTTTAGTTATTATATGCATGTCCCGCCACTTTTTGGAAGGTAAGGTGCAAAAGGAATCTATGAATCAAGTTGCAAAGAAGTGTCTAACTTTGAGTATAGCTAGGCTGGAATTATTTCTGATTCTGTATAGAAGTTTTAGGTGAAAAGTGATGAAGAACGAATTAATGGTAGAAATTATATATTGTTAAAATTATTAAGCCACTGGTCACTATATCCATTTGATTAGAGCTTAAAGAATTGGTAAATTAAGTTCAGATAACTCTAAGGCTGATAGGTGGGCAGACAAAGTAATACACACACAGGCCTCCGTACTTTTTTAGCTGAAGATATTAACTCACTGTGCATGCACGTCAATAATGATTTAATTCTTTCAAATTAACGTTAAGAAATATAAGAGGTGCATTTAGATTATCTCTGATAAAAATTATTACCTTAAAATGAGGTAATATAAAGAGAACATAACAAATACGAAATGAAGAGATAAACATAATGCATGCAAGTTTATATTTATTCGTGTCATCGTTGTTTTGCTGTCATCGCTGTTGTTATTATTATATACACAATAACTGCAAAGAATGTACAGTAAATAACAAGCCTAACAATTGATGGAGGTGTGGCGGGCAGAGAACATTCACCTAGTATCTGAGACAACGTGGGTATTGTATTTTTAATGTTAAACGTTAGAGGGTACTTCGACTCGTGAGTGTGGCCTTCCAGAGAGTCCTGAGTTGTCCAGTGATCCGACTGAGTTGTTGGCCTGTTGGCATTAAAAAACATACACTTTCCGGTCAAGTCATGACCACTCTCTGTCATCCACATGTCTGTTGGGATTACCCAATTGACCTTCTCTTTCGTATCTAACCTCTTACTGTTTCGGCAATATGGCAGATTATATATCCCACTTTATAGATATGGATAAAATCCCACCTACCATCGCTTCCCGCTCGTTTACAGGCCTGCTTTACACAATTAACATTTATATATATGTTTTTAAACGAATCCCAGACTTAGGAGACCCTAGTGGAATTTTGTTGTGTTAGAATTGTAATAACCACCATGGATAAGTAATTAACTAACATATGTTTTCCTTGGTATTTTATAACTTTGAAGTTGGTTGTACGAAGCATAAATAATGTGATTTGATATATGTATGGACTTGATACTTTGCATTGATGTTATGCTCATCTGCTGGATAGATTTTTTGTCGCGGTGGCTAAGAATAATCTGCTCCTGGGTAAAACCCACCAGAACTACATAAATAATGGCCGCACTTCACTAAAAATTGATGATTTTTTTTTTTCATTTCATCAGAAAAATGCGGTGAGTGTCTATCTGTAGGATTGGAGTTTCAAGAGGGAATGAAACCACGTGGCCATCCGAAATGGATACGAACCTCCATAAATTTGGAAGTTCTGCCACTTTCGGTAGAAGAAAACAAAACGGAGTTTTCAGGGAGAAGAAAGGGACGGTAGGATTATTCAGGTTAATTAAAAGAACAAAAGCAGTCTATGTTATATGCCATATATATGCCTATCAGAAGGGGAAATGTTATCATCAAATTCAGGAGGATTCAGGATTGTATTGGACGTACGTGTATGAATATATATATATATATATATCTCTTTGGTTACTTTTTGTATATTTAGATTTTGGACAGAGTAGTGTTATATTTGCAAAGCATCCACATAAATGGATCTCCCGATAATAGTGATTTGTATATTCTCACTCTCAGTGACTTATTATGTCCAGTATAAATCTTGTGCGCGCTCGTGTGTTGCTCAAAAGACAACAAATAATATTCATAATTTTACTTCAAATGAAGTACTCCCTCTAGTATTTAATATAAAAACGGGTTGACTGATTTAAGTAGATTAGGAAAACTAGTTAAGTTAGTTATTTGTAATAAATAAGTGTTGTTTGTCTTACGATATTCTTACTAATCAGGTATATTGACTAAAACTACCATTATTAAAAGGACTATTTCGAAAAAATATATATAAATATGAGAGACAAAGTAGATTGAGGTATTATATTTATAACCAAAATAAAAGTTAAACTAAGCCCTTATATTAGGACTGGAAGAAGTAATAGCAGGCAACTACGTGCTTGACGTCTGCTCGTAGACATGTTCAGCAAGGTGTCGTGTTTGATTTTTCCCTCTAACTACGCTATAGGCCGAAAATAACTAATTAAAACATACATCAAAACGAACAGAAACATCGTATTCCGATGAACCAGTGAGCCCTCATGGTAAGTGTTTACAAACTGACTTGCACAGCAACAAGTTGTATGTAACAATTACTCAATAATAACGACGACGATGACGAGATATTTTGCTATCAAGATATGAAGCTGTAGGTGTGTTAGGAAACCGTAAGAAGTTCTGAACGTGAGAACAAACACAAACCAGCTGTGACGAAAATCTTCGACATTGTTTTCATCAGTCATCATGATATTTACTTCTCTTTTTAATGAAATATTTGTTTTTTGAATATTCAAATGCACACATATCTTTTAAATGACCAGATTTGGATAGGTGATCAGTATTGGGCGCGGGGGGTTTATATATGCTGATCGATGATATCAAGCGATTTGGATTGGATAAGTAAATCAATAAACAAAAACAAGTAGCAACAGAATTAATAAGGATAAAGAGGCCAGCTGTGAACGAATACATACAAGAACAATAATAGCAAGAGAGAAGAGGATAGGGATGAGAGAGTCAATGGGGCTGGGACGGAGTAGTAGCAGACAGAACTACATGGGAACGATGTGAGGGAGTAATATGGTATTGTGTGTAAGAAAGCGAGCTTCTCACAAGAACTCATGCCCATGTTGGCTGGGCCACCCTCCCCTCCTCAACCCATCCCACTACACAAGCCGCCATCATCATGCACACTTACCTCTGTTTCATGCATCTCAACTCAAAATTTCATTATTCATAAAGGCCCTGCAATTAATTCATCCTATCAATCATGCTTATCTAAGTCTATCCCCACTGCAATTCTATACATAATCTAGTTCTTTTTAAATTATTATTCTTCCTTATTGTTTTCTAATGAGTCAAATCATATCCTAAATGTGCAAGTTGGATTATATTATCTTTTTACAGTCACTGTCACGTATATTCAATGTCTTGAAATGACCTTTTTCCCTTATTTTGAGTACTGTCGCTGGTCATGATCCTTGATACGTAATAGAATCATCGTAACTCAGCTGGTTGACAACACGACTAATAAACCCAAAAAATATAAACTCAAATAGTTCTTGGGAATACACAGAAAAACAGGAAAAGAGCAGGGGAGAATTTTGATCGTGTTGAAGAAGAAGGAAGGAAAAGGTGGCACGTGAGGGTAATAAGTAATATGAAAACGATGGAATAGGGGAGATGCGTGCATAGGAGTCAACACGTGGAATTGCAAGGGAAGGAAGGGCAGGGCAGGGCTGGGCTGGGCAATTAATGCGTAATTGACGAGGGTTAGTTACGTGAATAATTCAATTAGAAGCGAGCGTGTGGCTTGCTTCTGTGCTACGCGTTTACTCTCGTCACAGTTCACAGAGAAGAGAACCAGTCCCACCGATGGATAAACCGCACCCCCAACACTGCCACGTCAGACTCTTGTTACTGACTCCCCATTGTATTCTCAAACATGATCCATATCCCATTTATTATAAGTCACACCCTTTCAAACTAAAATCCCACAGGCTTAACTTGTCACCGTGCTTATTTTTAATTATTCACCTCTCGTGATGTTCGATGCATGCGTTGCACACAGCATTGGCCTCCTAAACAAGCAATGCTGCGCAGCGCCATTATACCGTGTGTGGGTGTGTGTGTTTATAAAACCATTATATACTATATTTATATCCACTTATAACATGCTTTATTGTCAGGCCAAAAAAAAAAAAACATGTTTTAATGGATCATCGTTGGCGACTCTCACACCGTGGTAAGCCACGACATTTTGTCTTATGTCCGGGCATACTTGAAGGTGCATTGAATTTTGGTCACAGGATAAAAGGAGAAAAAGTTTAAGGAACATGGGTCGTGTGAGCGATTTCATGTTCACCCGCGTGCCTATTATCCACAGGGCATGCAGCGCCAAAATTGGGCCATCAAAGCCCAGAGAGGTCCAAACACAGCCCCATCCTGATCTCCCCGACGAACGCCCTTTCCTTTGAATTCACTGCCACTCCATTTCTCATTTCCCTCAACAATCCGCCCACATCACCATTAAAAGTTCAAAACTTGCGTAGACTAGAATGGTGAATAAAGTGTAGACTGAGGGGCGTTTAAGTCATCCGGAACTAGACCGCCTCCCCAGCCTGGGCTGTGACTTGTGACATCATTTACGATTCCATTGCGTCAGGATCAAACCCCAGAGGAAAGAGAGAAACGGATACGGCCTTACCTACTCGTAACAAGGCAGGGAAGGGAAGTCCAACGGAAAGGGGGCGAGGGTATATTCGTAATATAATTAATGCCGGTGCTCTGCGATGCTGATCGCATATGTATAAATATAGACGTATTTATGAGGCAATTGAGTGGAGTGGGATCTAGTAAGCAAGAAACACGATCCCAAAGGCAAAAGCGGCTTCTCTGAGTAAATTTCGACTCATCTGACTCTCTCCTTCCCCTGGTTACGTTACGCTACTATAGGAATACCCCTCCCTATACAATACAGTCACTGTTTGCACAACATATTACCAAGTACGAAGCCCTCCTCCCTCTCTCCCTCTCTCTCTCTCTCTCTCTCTCTCTCTCGCTGTCATTCGGCCTGGGAGGATTCCCACCTATTTTTCCCACTCGCAAAAGCACCATTCCAAATAAAGGGAAAGCCAGAAGACATAACGACGCCACTCGCCCTTCTCTACTTCTCCGGCGTCGCTAGTGCAGGGCTCTTGGGATACTCGCCAGCGACGTACGTACCATACCCTCATTGCTTCCATATGCGTCAATTGTTGGCTGTTTATACATGACCAGAAAATGCGCCAGCCGCTACTGCCTCATGATTCAACCGACCTCCCTTACCCCCTTACCATCAAGAAATCTGACGCCGACAAGGTAGACAAAGAGGCACGCACGCCCTCTCCGCCTCTTCTTCTCGTTGGCCGGAATCGCTCCCAGGCCGGCAACCGGAGGGTCACGCCCACCTTAATGCCCGTCGGGGCTGGTAGTGCGGACTCCATTGTTGAGAACCTTCTGCCTAACGGTGATTTTTTTGTGGGTACCTTCTCTGGGAGCGTTCCGCACGGATCCGGGAAATACCTGTGGACAGACGGGTGCATGTACGAGGGGGAGTGGAAGAGAGGAAAGGCAGCTGGGAGAGGCAAATTCTCTTGGCCTTCCGGGGCTACCTATGAAGGCGAATTCAAATCGGGTCGGATGGAGGGATTCGGGACTTTTGTTGGATCTGACGGTGACACCTACCGTGGCTCCTGGATCGGCGATCGGAAACACGGATGCGGCCAGAAACGCTATGCCAACGGCGATTTCTATGAAGGGTCATGGAAACGGAACCTGCAGGATGGGCAGGGAAGGTATGTGTGGAAGAATGGGAACGAGTATGTGGGCGAGTGGAAGAACGGTGTGATGTCTGGGAGGGGCGAGTTGCTCTGGACGAATGGGAATCGCTACGAAGGACAATGGGAGAATGGGGTTCCGAAAGGGCGGGGGATTTTCACATGGCCTGATGGGAGTTGCTATGTAGGCATCTGGAACAAGGATTTGAAGATACAGCAACTGAATGGAACTTTTTACCCTGGCAATGGGAAAGAGCACTATTTCAAGGGTAACGGGCCGTTAAAGACTGATAATTTTACTATAACAATGAGCAAGGCGTCGGCCATGGATGATGCCAGGGGAAGCGTGAGTGAGAAGAATTTTCCTAGGATATGCATATGGGAATCCGATGGAGAAGCTGGTGATATAACTTGTGATATCGTCGATAATGTGGAAGCATCCATGTTCTATCAGCGTGCAACGGTATTTGATCGACATGAGATAAAGCAGTTTCGGCGCAATTCTATCCGCTTCACCAACGAGGTGAAACGACCAGGACAAACAATATGCAAAGGGCATAAGAACTATGACTTAATGATTAATCTACAATTGGGTATAAGGTAAAGCTTTGGAAATGCGTCGGAAAGGCTTTTCCGGTCTACTGTTTTCCGATTAAGGGGTTTTTCTTTAGCTTGGTGCTGTGTTGATTCTGTCTCTGCTCTGTGTAGGTACTCCATTGGGAAGGAAGCTTCAATATTGCGTGAACTTAAACTTCGTGATTTTGATCCAAAGGAGAAGTTTTGGACAAGGTTTCCACCTGAAGGATCCAAGATAACTCCACCACATCAGTCAGCGGAGTTCCGCTGGAAAGATTACTGCCCCATGGTCTTCAGGTATAGCTCCTTGGTTTTTGTAACCACAACAATTTAACTGTTAATTGCATATTTACATGTTTATGTCGGGCATGATGCCCAACCAGAGGTGGGTTACGTGTGGGTCACTGCATTTCGTGCGGTCTAACGTGATATTTACTGCCTTCTGCTCGTTGTTGACCGAATCCTTCTTTGAATAACAGACAATTGAGGAAGTTATTCCAGGTGGATCCTGTTGATTACATGTTTGCCATTTGTGGGAATGATGCTCTCCGTGAGCTTTCTTCTCCGGGGAAGAGTGGAAGCCTCTTCTATTTGACCCAAGACGACAGATTCATGATAAAAACAGTGAAGAAATCCGAAGTCAAGGTTTGAAATCCATGTCCTGAACTTGTAAATTTGTCTTTTTTATATTTAAATCTTTCATATGCAATCGGTAACATGGTGCTGAGGATAAGTTGTATAGTTTGCTTCTTTAGACCGCATGCCATGGCCGAATAAATATGCTTCCCCATTTGGTATGATAGTAGGCAGTTAAACTTTTTTCAGTAGAACCTAGTTTGACTATTGCTCATCATTTTCTTGCATTTGACACCTAGCTCTATCCTTGGATGGTGCTGTAATAAAATCTTTGGTGTGTTTGGAAAGCTCAACTAACTCTAGATTTTTTATGATTAATTTCCAGGTGCTCCTTCGAATGCTTCGAAGTTATTACCAACATGTTTCTCAGCATGAAAACTCACTCTTGACAAAATTTTATGGATTGCATTGCGTCAAACCAATAGGAGGCCAGAAGGTTTGTCTTTGCTTGGTGGGCTTATTTTAGTTTTGGCTAGAGTTGATTTTTGCATCACAGTACCTGACCTTCTTGTTATTTGAAACCAGACCCGGTTTATTGTAATGGGGAATCTTTTCTGCTCGGAATATCCAATCCATAGGCGGTTTGACTTGAAGGGATCGTCTCATGGCCGTACAATAGATAAGCGGGAAGAGGAGATTGATGAAACTACAACCCTCAAAGACCTTGATCTCAATTTTGTATTTCGTCTACAGCAATGTTGGTTTCAGAAGCTAATCAAGTGAGTTCTGCCTTGTCTGTGGTAGAGCACTATGCCAATGAGCTATCTGAAGTTTAAGGATAAAATTGTGCTAATGTGAATTTCATGGCTGCCAGACAAATTGAGCAGGACTGCAAGTTCTTAGAAGCAGAGGGGATCATGGATTACAGTCTGTTGGTAGGCCTCCACTTCCGTGAAGATAACAAATATGACAAAATAGGGTTGTCTCCATTTGTTTTGCGCACTGGTATTGATTTTCCCTGCATCCTGATTCCTTGGTAAATAAGGGTTAAGTTGCAATAGAATTTTAGTTGCAAATGTTGTTTCCCTTGCAGGCAAGCGAGATTCTTATCAGAGTGAGAAGTTCATGCGTGGTTGTCGCTTCCTTGAAGCAGAGCTTCAAGATCGGGATCGAGTTAAATCTGGCCGGTATGACTTATTTCAATCTTGATTGAATTGTTATGGTATTTCCTATGCCCATCTTGAAAAATATTCTGGTTGAACTTTAATTTATAATATATAATGGCGTGTAAGACGTGTGATATTATTAGCGGGGGGGTAATTGGAAGGGGTTTCAATTAATTATCGGGTGACTATGCTCAGATTTTTGTATCGGCATCTCAATTACTCTGTGGAGTCATTTCCACTACATGCGAACTATTGCAGTACAATGACCACCCAGTGATGGGCAACAGTGAAAGGAATGAATGCTGAAGATGTTTTCGCTTTTAAATACGAAATTCCAAAATTACAACTTGTAGAAATTGTTTGGTTGGTTAGTATTTGAGAATTTCGTTCTGATGTTGAAATAAATAAGAAATGGGTTTTTAATTTTGTGTTCAGGAAATCACTGATTAGATTGGGGGCCAATATGCCGGCAAGGGCAGAGCCGATGGCAAGGAGGAGTGATTTTGATCAATACTTGGTGGACGGGATCAGCCATTTGATCCCAAGTCGGTGTGGGGAGACATGCGATGTGGTCTTATATTTTGGGATTATAGATATCTTGCAAGGTTATGATATCAGCAAGAAGTTAGAGCACGCCTACAAATCGTTGCAAGCCAGACCTTCATCAATCTCGGCCGTGGATCCAAAGCTTTACTCCAAGAGATTCCGTGATTTCGTGGGGAGAATATTCAGCGAAGACAGGTAGGACTGTAGGAGCGCCATTCAAAGAAAAATCTGTCTTCAGGGGAACAAGTGCCTAGCTGATTTGACGCGAACCACATGGAGGAAATTAGCCTCCCCCATGATACCGTGGACCGAAGTTGACCGTTTTGGGTTCAAAACGGAGGCAGGGTAAGGGGACTGGGGGAGCTTGCCAGCGCCAGTGCCAGATCTCGGGGGTCGAACTGGATTACGCTGCATGTCTAATTTTAAAGTTAAATATACATCTCTATGATCACTCCGGGGTGTTGGCGAGATCTTGTACAGTGAGAGGGGGGGATATGATGTCTGATTTTTTTATTTATTTGTTGTGCTCACAAAGAGAGAGAGAGGAGTGGGAATCATTTAGCGGTTGAAAAGGTAGGTTGTAGTGGAGGTGGAAACAGAAAGAGGGCGTTTGCCAGAGATAGGTAGTCAAGGTAGTTTTTTTTTTTGGTTTTTTGGGTGGATAATAAAGAAATTGTACAGTTTGGCAATAGCGAGCAAGGAATTGAATTTATATCCAAATGAAATTTAAATTCTCATCAATTGGGCAAATTTCTGGGGTGTTTGGTAAAGATGATTTTGGAGGGCAAAGATGTGAGCTTGTGGGTTCAATCCCATCCATGCGCGTTGGAAGAGAGAGGCAGCTTCAAAAGAAATGGATCCCCCGAGAAAGATGAGTGTGAAGGAGGGCTATTCATGTATTTCAATTCATTTTTCATCAAAAGCAGAGAAAGCCAAGACAAGAAAGATGCGATGCGCTTCTTTCCCTCTTCCTCTCTCTTCTTTTTACTGTTTCTACTCTGCACCCTCTCCATTCTCGAATTTTGACTTGCTTTTCCTTTTCTTTATTTGCTTTTATAATTCCTAGGAAAAGAGAGCTCAAAAATTAAAAGTGCGAGTCAAGTCGGGAATCAGCCCGATTGGGCGATGCAACAGACGTCTGCCGCCCTCCACGTGGCCTAAACTAGGAATTGTACAGTTTGGGAGGCCACTCCTGGCGTTTCCCTGAGGAAAGGAGCCTCCGTTTCTGACCTTGCTGCCCAACTAACAACTAATCCGACCATCGCCAATCAATGTTCACTCCTGCCCAGACCCAAAGTCACAACGTCAAACTTAAAAAAAAAAAAAAAGAAGAACAAATTAGAGAACGGGGGAACCCCTCGTAGCGTCTTAAATTAATACTCCTACCTAGATTGGATATTGAGAGAACAGGAACACTTGACAAAGGCAAAATGAATGGAAATCTAATGTTATCTCTCATGCTGAAATAGGACCCGAGACACACTCCCCCTCCAGTCATCGTGCCTAACTGACTTCGTGAATGGATCGTTGATAGCTGAGCTACGTATATAATGCCGCATTTATGGTACGGGAACAACTTGCCCCTTAGTGAACTTCCCAGCTCATTCCCGCGTTTGAATGAATACCACTAGTACATAAAAATGCTAATTAATTTCTGTTTATTAGAGTATCTGTAAATGGATCCCCGCCTAATTCCGTACCATGAAGCTTTGAGTAGGGTCAAACACGAGAGGGTAGCTGAGCTAGGCTTACCTCGTAAGGCTTGAGGCAACCAACAAATGAAATTAAATAAACGGGGCAGAGGGCAGAGGGCAGAGGGCAGATGCCAGCAGATCTCGGTTTCATGATGCGGTCTGCTCGGGACTCTCTCGTCTGCAAACACCAACTCCACAAATCCAAACAAGAGAAAAAGAAAAAGGACAAGAGAATGGACCTGCACGGGTTCCGAAGCCCTCCCAAATAAACAAACAAAGAATTAATTAATAAAGAGGAAGACGAAGGTGTACGTAAATGACCAGAGGGTGCCCTGCTAGTCTGCTACAACTATAGGTGGGGCGATCCCCTGCCAGCAACCCTACCCGTAACTAGACGCAAACCCCCTCCCCCCCCGCCCTCCCCATGCCTCAAAAGTTGTATTCTTTTCCGCCTAAACTACAGATCTGACACAAAACGAGCGCCTCCTATTTCCCTACTCTGCTATTCGCCAGCCTTGCTCCCGCGCAGCATGTTCATACACAGCATTCCGTATCATATATAATGCATGCCTCTTGTCCACAAAATTATCCGCCCCATAATAACATTATTTCATGCATTCATCTTAACATGGATATGTGTTTTGCCTGGTTATCTAGCCAAACAGTTGCCCTTTCACAAGCCTGTTCTTTTCTATGTATACGGCTCGCTCTTGCTTCCTCATTCCTATTTCGTGATTTTTCTTTGGCTTCTTCCATCATCACTTTTCTGACTGTCTCGACTTCTCTCTCGAATACAGTAAGATTTGAATACCGACAATTAATTTCTCCATCGCTCACATGAAAAAAGACTGGGTAGTACGTAAATTTCAATTGGTCACCCACACTACTATTCTACTGCTTTGGAACTTGGACACCCCTCTCTTCATTGTTATTATGAATGCTACCAGCTATTTTGTTCATCATCAACCCAGAACATTTACTTTGCACTCCAACATAATCATCTTTCTTGTTGTTTTCTACTATCATTACTGCATTTAGCCAGGCTTGGAGTCCCTGCATCATTATTGTGGTCTGAAAAGAGGAAAGCATTGTGGCATATCTGCAGAGCACGGACACCGTTTAGAGAAGAAGTTGTCGAAGGCGAAAATCATTGAACTTTCTTCACCTTGTACTATCTGTGTTCAAAATTATCCACTCTTCTGCTCATTTTTACAATCCTGAATCATTTCCTGTCCTTTTCGGTTTACGCAATGGAGATCTAGCAACACATGCTCCCAACAAGATGCACTGTAGATCATTATTTGGGTTCATCTCCTATGCCATGGCTTTGCCCTCTAGATGATACTCAAAGCTAGTTTGATTGGTGCATGCAATGCTAGGCACAGATCACACGTATTGGACCATCAGACGCAATTTGACAGTGGGAGAATCTTTGGATCTTCATTACAAAATCTTGCACGTGACCACATTATACACTAAGTGTGCCGCGATGGCTATATGAAAGGAATGCTGATCATGAGAGAGAGAGAATCATTTTCCATGCTCCTAAAGCACAGGCTTGTGGATTTACCTGTCATTAACAAAAACCACACAACTGGTATGTACCCTGACAAGCACAGTCCAGTTTGGTCCCATAAACACATTGTCATCCCCACTATCTCCATGGACTTGTCGTTGCTTAATTGATTCGTGTACCCATCCATATATGATTGAGAAACAACGCCCTACCTTTTCATTTTTGTATATAGATAGGAGTTGTCCCGTGTTATTTTTGGATCATATAAACCCATAGCAACTTCCTGAGATCACAAGAGCATCATCACGCGTATTTTCTTGTATGTGTTCGTGTTATGAGGGAGCACGGCGCGTTGAACTTTCACATTTATTGTGTTCTCTCTGATTCTTATCCCCTTGTGCCAGATGAATTTTTCCATTGTTATTTTCACTAATATAAGAAAAACATCCAGCTAAACTAATGGATCAATCCAATATAATAATATTGCTATTTACGAGAGTGTTTTACAGAGGAGGAACACAAGGATCAGCTAGTACGATACCACATCAGGAAAAATAAAAGGAATCGGTTGAGCGTAAGGATCAAATAATGACAATTAAGATCGTGGGGTGCTTTAACCCAACAAATAAATGCAATCACAGTCGGCACGGCGAAATCATAAGCGACACTTCGCAACTGAGACAGCGCACACAAGGCAGAAAATACATGTAAAGTATTAGGTCCAACCACACCAACTAATAATGCTAGAAAGCAACCCCTCTTAATCGATGGGGTACGTTCCTGCTGATACAATCTCCTGGTCAGTAAGATACGTCCATATTATAAATTTCTTTTCTTTAAGATTCAGAGATTTGACATTAGTAAGTGTTAATCAGTGGGTAATACGGAGAAAGAGTTGATAAACTGCGATATTGCAGATAGCTAGAAAGCGATTTGAGTGTGAAAGGACAAAGAAGGTGGTGTGCGTAGAGAAGAGGGTCGACGTCATGGTGAGGTTAGGGAGGGAGGCAATGTGTTGGAGGCGAAAGAGAAGGGTGGAGGGGTTGATTAAATGAATGGCCGCCACATGTCGGGAAAAAGAGAGAACCATGGCCAGCATCGCGCTTGTTTGGAGGGAGACATGCTTCATCATTTATGACTTTTCTATCCTCATTATTCTCCCCACTCCTAACAATCTTTCACATCTGAAAAAGTCACTTCATTTACCTCCTACTATTTTATGTCTCCACTTATTTCCCATGCATCCTGTTCTTTGTTTGAGTTGCCCCTACGTATTTGCTTCGTATATATTAAATCCGTCCCTGGTGAATGTCAGGACTCAGTAGTAATCAGTAGTAATGATATGTCTTTGCTTAAATTTCATTCAAAATACTGGTTAATTTCTTGCTAGCTAAAACATCATGAGGATATCCATACTCAAGTTTTGCTTCATTTCTTCCTTTTCCATTTGGGATTTGGCCAATTTACCACTGCGTCTCTGTAACTATGAAAATTGCCATTGCTAGCCGAGCATAGAGGGATTCACCCGCGTGTCATCGAAATAGTGTACAAGAAAGTTAGTTGCGATATATTTCTTCGGCGCATATGTTTTTTAGGGGACAAAAAAAAGAGATATGCAAGTCATCGTCATTCCATGAAGTTGTCTCTATGATAAATCTAACCCCTCCCCCCTCCTAATTATTTCTTCATCTTCGATCAATTCTTGTCATTCAGTGATCTGGTCCTATATGGATTGTTCTGCTCTTTCTCATTCGTGAGCCTCGTGTTCACGTTGAGTTCAAGATAATAATATCCAATCAGAAATTGCAAACAGTGGTTTGAAGAAAATTAAACTTGCGTTCCATCGCAGGTTCAGACTAATTGGTCAAAAATTTGTGACGTGATTAGGAGACATTTAACGCGTTACGTTGAAAGATGCCCCATTAGGTTCCTCATTCCATTGTTAGCAGAGAGATAAATCAGCAACAAAAAAAACAGCACGAGGTTTCTGCTGGGGGGACACTCTCCCCCAACTAAATGGTCCATTCTGATAATTAATTAATAACACTGTTGAATGAACCCTGAACAAATAATTGAAAACTGAAAAGACTTAATCATATTGCCTGGGCTTTTGAAAAGGTTATTATCTAGAACACTAGGCCCTATAATCATAGTATAATACTAGTGTTTACTCCATATGTATATATAATGCCAATAATCATGCTACTTCATCAGTGACTTTTAAGCAGCAAAACTTGACAAATATGGATGCCCAACTCGATCGGGCTTATATCTCATATATAATACTTGTGCTTATTCCTACGCATTAAAATTTCAACCGGCAAAAATATACATTTCATCTTTTAATTTTATAAAAGAATCTTTTCAAGCATCTAGTCATAATACTATCAATTTCAAATAAAGATTTTTAGCACCATTTATTGTTATTTTTAAAAATTAAATATACTATGTTAAGATTTGATCATGTTTTAACAGCATTTAAAATTTAATTGTGACATTTTTTTGTTAATGAAACAAATTATATTAATATTAGATGACTGAAGAAAAATTATATAATTAAGAGACTGAAATGAAACCTTGTATATAAATAGAGAACCAAGGACATATTTTTGTCAAATTTAATCAATTAGTGGTAAGGGTATTCTTTAAAGAAAGTAGCAAGTTTTTTTACACATCGCTACAATTTGCAAATAATGATCCCAGCTTCTTTTTCCATCGCTCATGCCACGATACCAACAGATAGGGTGTTGAGAATGAAAGAATGGCTTTGCCATGAGATGATGTTACTAAACTTGTTTAAAATGGTTTATAAATAACTTTTCAATGATAATTTATAAAATATAAAGTAAGTATGTGAGAAAAGTTTTGTTTTGGTTTGCGTTAAAGTGTTTATAAACACTTTTGCAACGTTAATCCAAACAAACCTATTGTAAATTATATCACTAAAAAAAAGGGTCCTTAATCTCTACGTGTGTTGTTTTGGGTCTCTCAGTTTCCAACAAGAAGAAGGGGAAGACCATCGCCATATCAACATCATCATGCAGCTGTATGTTCAGCTCCCAGCTAACTATGGGACCACCTTCTCATGATTTTCCTCATTTACTCTCTGATGATGCCGCTTAATATCTCCCCCTCCCCCCGGGGGGCCACCCCAAAAAAAAACCCACCTTAAAAAATCCGTCCTTCTCTCTTTTTTTGGCCAACAAGAAGCAACGTCTCTACGTTTTACAAGGAGTTCATAGATGAGAAGGTTCATGTGAATAAGGCCACATAAGAACCCCACTTCAAGGCAAGCGGGCAGCCTGGGGACACGGAAGTGTCAATTTCCCTCACCGGGCTACATGAAATGGAACCAAAGCCCTTAATTTCAATTAATGTTGAGATGTGAGGCCATTTTGAAGTAACGATGATATACACCTACTAGTACTCTTATTTATTCCCAGTTTAGTCGGCGTTGGGGATTGGACGGAGAAAAAGCAGTGCGAGGGCGAGAGAGATTAACAAATGGACTGGAAGTGAAAAGAATGTAGCAATTTATCGTGCGTCTATAGGGCCTCTCTATTATCCAATGGGTCATAAGCCCAACCCTCCCTTGGGCTCGTAGTTTTCGAGTCCTTATTGGTTATTTTGGACTGTAAAGGCCTTTGCGGGTAAACTAGCCGAAAACAAGCCTCTTTCAAATGTTCGAAAGCACTTGTTATTGGGCCACCAGCGATATGGGAACAGCGGGCGTGATAATCACACTGACCATCTGTAAGAAAACGATACAACGGGGCTAAATAGAGAAGCACATTGAGAGAATAATTATTATTAATCTGCTGCTTTGTTTTATAATTTCCCTTTAATAAATAATTTTCCAAAACAATTCTAAACTTTCCGGGAAAAAACAAGGAGAAGAAGAAGAAGGAAAGGAAGAAAGATGCATTGCCTGATAGTCTATCGCTGAGATTCCCAAAAAGCAGTGACACGGAACAAGTCATGAAACAAGGAAAGTGGGGCAGCAGGAAGAGAAAAGACGGGCGCAGGTGGGGAAGATGAAAGAACAGACAAAAAGGACGGGAGGCGGAAGTTTTCAGCTTTCGACAAGCAAGGATGAAAGAAAGCTTAAACAAGAAGGTGAAAGGGTCAACGCGCCATAGAAAGATCAGTGGTCAACGGATTCAAAAATTGAAGAGCAGGGCGCAGAGACAGAGCGTGAAGCTTGAAGCCTGGCAGTGGCACCATTGTTGGTTGTTTGTTGCATGAGAATGGACAAAGAGACAAAATGGAGTTACTGAGACATGAGACCATAAAAAAGGACTAAGCATTCTAAATACCTGCATCCTTAGGAAGCATGCAAGGGTCATATGCATTTGTTTGGTTTCTCTCTCATGAGAGAAGTCTCCGCAATCTTCTGACCTCCCCTCGTACGTTTGAAAAAGTTGCTTCGTGGGACTCCAATGGGATATGGATGAGACTCAAATTCGTCGGGCTCTGGTAATTTTTAAAGAAAACGAAACATCATATTACTATCGTGACCTTTTCCTCTCAAAACCCATATGAAAGCAAGTCAATATTCCATTTACTGTATTGCAAGCACTGGTACATGCCTCCATCACTTCTTCAAAACACTAAAATTGTAAGTCTCTTCCACCTTATCCGCTCTCTTCAGCATTTTGACGCTCATATTTGTATTCCACAGAATCTCTTGCGTACTTGTTCTGTATGTTTTCCTTATAATTTTATATTTTAAATAAAGACCCTTTTTTCCACGGGCCTGGAGTCCTGCAGATCCACAGCAATTATTTATAATTTTTAAATAAACAGATAGGACAACTCCCTTTAAATTCTGTTCAATCGTCCAAAAAACATATCTAATATTGCAAGTCATATTCCAAGTCTAACGCACTCCATTCCATTATCGATGCAAAGGAGCTCATCATATTTTGCCATACAATGAAATAAAATAAAAGGAAGGAAGAACACGCAAATAAAGAGAATTCTGTTTAACCCACGCGCGCACACCCATATAAATATTCCAAACCAATCCCTGTATATAAGGTGTTTTCAACTAAATTATATTACCTCCCGTTCTAAATATAAGAGCTAGTTGATTAATTTGAATAGATTAAAAAAATTAAATTAATTATTTGTAATAAATATGTATTATTTTTTCTAAAATATCCTTACTAATCAAATTTACTGTTTAGAATTATAAGGACTATAATAGAAAAAAGTGAATAAATATGAGAAATAAAATAGATTGGGATCTTATATTTAAAATTAAAATAAAAATCAAATAAAATCTTATATTAAGGACCAGAAAAAATATAAAATAATAAACATTTATTAAATAATTAAAACGAGATTAAAATAATCACTCGTTTTACAATCTGCAAGGGTTTTGGGGCCAAAAGCCAAACTATTTTAGATAGAAAAAAAAGAAAAAAGAAAATCACAACAAGTTTTAAAAAAAATTAATTATTAAAAATTTCAGTAACAACCTAAACAATTAATAATGATAAGTTCTAAAATAAAAAATAATAACTTTTAAAATTTGTTTTATAATTTTTTTTTAAAAGAACCTCGAGTCTCTTCAAAATTAATTGAAAGAAAAAAAGCGAAACTCGGTTTAATAGTTGCGTTGGAGAAATTAGAAGTATGACGCCGCCAGAGCAAGCGTTGGTTCCAAATCTCCAAAGTTGTAAGGGGTTCCAAGCATTTAATGCGAGCTATGATGACTGATCAGTACCACTCTCTCTCCAATCCATTTTCATCCTTAGGATATCATAAAATGGGATGGACAGATGACTTTCCATGCTCCTATCACAGTCAGATTGGCAAAAGGAATTAAACGGATCTTCTCTTGTCTCTGCCTTTTTGGTTCAGCCCCTTCCTCTTTCTCTCTCTTTGCTCTTTAAAACGTCGAATCCCCAACCCCGTAAAGTTTTATGTTCTCCGATTTTTCTGTTATACATATATATATATATATATCCCCTTTCTCTGTGTCCCAGAAAAACCTCGCAGTTCAGCTTGCAGCGAAGCATCTAACCTCAAACGCACTTTCACCCATGGCTTCTCAGTTACCCGAGCAAAGCATGCGACCTTCCGCTTCGAAACCGTTAAACCCTAAGGCGCCGTGCTTTCGCCCAATTCGTAAGACATGGCGTCCACAACCGGAGCATCAATGGAATCATGGTCTTTTACAAATGCCGCCGTTGATGCCTCTTCGTCCTATTTACACCTATCATCCTCATTGTTTTGGATGCTTCAGTCTAACTGCATGCTATCGTGGGGTTGCCACTCGCCTTCCTGAGCATAAGGCAGAAAAACATATGGGTGGGAGAATGATAGCTAAAACTCAGAAACCCCCCAGATCAAGATGCATGTCTCAGAAGGGAAGCCGACCTGCTATAAGTGCGAGGAGAGACCATGGAAACAGGTGGAAGGTAGGGAACAAGGTGCTTAGGGCAGACAAGACTTCCGATGGTCACCCTATCATTCCATTCCCCGCAACTATGGAGGAATGCGACCACGCTAGAGCCACTACTGTCATGATCAAGAACGTGCCGTATCACTTTCAGTAACTGCTCTCTTCCTCTTCGCCTTTTGTTTTTCTCCCAGGCCAATCCTCCATCTTCTAGTTGCGTGTTGTATTATAACTGTTCATCCTCTGACTAATTCATTCTCTATACCATGGGGATTGTTAGGTTTAAAGACCTGATTTCGATATTGGACGAGCACTGCTTCCAGCAGAATCAAAGTTCTCAGCGGGCATCTTCTCTTTCCATGTATGATTTCGTCTATCTGCCAATGGATTACAAGTAAGTGAAGCACAATACCTTCTATCTGAGTTTAGTCTTGTATATCTTGCACATGTTAATGGCTCTTGACTGCATGCGGAGTCCCCAGGAAATTTGCATATGAGAATAAGCAATCGAATCTGGGCTACGCCTTTGTGAATTTCACCACAGCAAGAGCTGCGTTTCTTTTTTTCAAACGATTCAATGAACGTAAATGGCCTGGTCACGAGAACTGGAAGTTCTGTGAGGTTGCGAAAGCCCAGATTCAGGTGGGTTATTTCATGAATTGGAATATTTTTTAAGGCATTTTATCTGTTGTGTTAACAAATGATTTGAGGGGGTTATTGCTCTTGGCCATCCGCTGCTCAGGGAAAAGAGGCATTGATGATGAAATTTAAGGAGAAAGTGTTCAGATGTGTGCACCCAAGTTTCCGGCCCGTAGAATACAGACCTGCCCGTGATGGTGCAAATCATGAAGGAATCAAGGGAATCAGCGTGGGCAAGTTCGAAAGAGGGGGAGATGCCTGATACAAGAAAAGCCCAGGACGCTCCTAAATCAATGAAGCCCCATCAAGTTGCCTTCCGTACGTAGTGAAATGTGCAAGGAGCTTGCTTGATCACTCCCTACTAGTTTAGCGTAGTGTATGTAGGTCTGGCTGATAGGCCCGTAGCTGGTTTTCGGAACGTGTGTTTAGTAGACTAGAAGATGTGACGATGACCTTTGAAGTCTCTCGTACAGTGCAGCCCCTTTGATCATATTTTGCTTTTGTTTAGGATGCAGTGGCTGTTGTCCAGAGCCTCTCCGATGTTTCCACTGTCTCCCTGGCATTGAAACAGGTGAAAATGACAAAATCCGGGGCGAATTGGAAACATAGGTTTCGGATTTTCTCCTGGGCAAACATGCCCAAGTGTTTGTAACTTTGTACTAACTAGTTGGTTTGTGGAAATAAACTCAATGAATGTACGTCCCTCTACCTGTTTGAAGTTGTGTTTCTTTCTAGTGAAGGAATTCCCTGCAACCAAGTTCCACAGCAATGTTTTAATTTCTATCTAATTGAACAGGCTTTCATGGAATCAGGATTGAGTGAAGTAATAAGCGGAATGAATGATACGGGCACAAGGTTGAGGGGCTGAGGTTAGCAGATTGAGGTATGGGGAGTGATCCTTCGAAATCGGTAGCAGCGACCTTTGATGGATGGAACAATGATCTGACAGTGCCCATTATGAGCAGTTTACTTGCTCCGCCATGAGGTGTTAGGCGGCAGCCCCCTTTCACTGCTCACGTCACGTCAATTGCAGCGCAAAGGATCCCGCAATCGCTCCGCCGCCCCCCTTTCCTTTTGGGCCTAATGTTTCTGTTATTTTTAATTAAATATATTATGCAGAAAATAATAATAATAATAATCTTTCAATCATCAAATCAAATTGCATGTTAGTCGCAGCTCGTGTATTGAACCATATATAGAAAAAATTGAGGTTAAAAATGATGGCGACTTTGAATTGAATCACTCTTCCAAAAGAGAGCCATACAGATTTCTCAGGAAATGCAATTTCTCGTATGAGTTGGTTCGGGATTAATTGACAATGGCAGACTGAGCGACAGATTTTCGAATTTTCCAATCACCACAGATAAGGGTGGCAGGTAATGAGATCATGAACAAAAACCCAAGTAGATGCGTTTGTACTCAATGAAAAGAAACCATCACGACCACATAGTAGGCAAATTAATAATTTCCTCAGATTCTACAATATAAAATAAAAATAGTTGAATTACATAAATTTAGAATAATAATAGGTAAATATATATTTTATTTTCCAAAATGTAACATTATTTACAGTGAGTGGGGGAGAGAAAATCAACAACAACCAGGAAAAAAAAACCTCCTATGACATTATCTATAAATAACGTTCAATACGTTTTTATTATAATCAAGAATTTAATAATTTTTTTTAATTTCATTCATATTTAATATACACACTTACCAGAAAAATTATAGTGACAAGTGATGAGTAAAATAATACATTTAATTTATGTTAAAATTTTGCTTTTATAAATATGATCCGACAATTATAAGTAAATAATGCATGTAGTATGTAATCAGTCCGGACAATATTTGGGAGTCTGATTTTAAATTCCTCTAATAAGGCTCTGTTTGGATAGCACCCCAAATCATGGTTTGGGGACCCAAACCATGGTTTGGGGAAAATGCTACCCAAACAGCCTCTCCAAAAACCAAAACCATGGTTTTGGGTCAAAACCATGGTTTTGGAAAAAGCAAAATTTTTTGCTTTTGGAGAAAAAAGAGAGAGTGTGAGGGCCTATATGATATGTATCTTGTTATTTTTTTATAAACATATTTTTTTATAAATATATTTAATCTTATATTTTATAAATATATATAGACATTAATTATTTATTAATTATATTATCTTATGTATTATTAATTATGTTGGTAAAAAACATATTATTAACAATTTTATTTCTTCAAATTAAAATATATCATAAAATCTATTTTTTTTGTAATTATCATATTAACTTATGTCTTTTTTTTAGTAATTTGTATATATAAAAAGTGCTTCTGATAACAACTATCCAAACACTCTCACTTCTCAGAATCACTTTTTTACAAAATCTATTCTTCACAGAATCTATTTTTTCCAGAATCTATTCTCCAGAATCACTTTTCCAAACAACGGTTTGGTTTCATCCAAACACACCCTAAATCATGGGAAGTGGGGAGCGGTGAGGTTAAGCCGTACAATTTTCAACAAACTTCTTGCATTTGACTTTAATCTGGGGACATGCCTTTTCCGGACCGCATAATTTTTTTACCGCCTCCGTTGGTTTAAAAAAGTTTGTTACCCGAGAGCGCTTACCTTTAATTTTATTTATATTTGCTCCCCTGATATGAGGACATTTTGACACGTGTTATTGTATTGTAAGAGTTAAATTAATTAAAGATTTCCTTGTATGTGTGTTAATCCTTAACAGTGATAAATATATGGGTTAAAGTACAATTTTGACCCCAATCTTATTTTTTATATACAATTTTGATCAGGTTTAAAATTGCACCTAACAAAATAGATCAGAGCAAAATTTATCACTAAGAGATTAAGAGTAAAATTACGCCCAAAAATAAAGTCGGGATCAAAATTACACTTCAACCATATATATAATCGGGTTCGGGGCCTGCATTTCTTGGGAGTGCACTAATTTTTGTGAACTGTCCATGCCTTCCCTGATACGCGTTTGTGAAATCATGAGAAAGGCCCACAAGTCACCCTTCTCCCGTACAAGGTAACGTGTTTTGAGAATTCGGCTTCTGTTGTATGACTGCGCCCACTGTTTGTTAAATGGGCTTAGAACTCGACCATGTGTTTTAGTGGGCTCATGGATCCTAAGCCCAACAGAAACCCAGGGACGCGATACCTTAACCAATCATATCACACGCACCGCACGGCACACCTATTTGAACCAATTTGTTTTGCATTTGTGGGATATAGTAATTGTTGTCTTGTTACCAGACAGCGGAAGGCTACGGTCAACAACTAAATGATTTATACGTTTTTACAAAAAATTTTATATAAAATTTGGTGAATTTGGGTGGTGCTCTTGTCGTTAAGCGGCTGATTATTGCTTCCACAACAATTTTGTTCAGCAAACATTTTCAAAAATGGTAAATTATAAAGTCACGATTCACCCGACTATGTAATTCAGTATGCTTGCGAACCCTTCTGTAATTATACTACCTTCCAAATATTTTGATTTATTTCCTCACCTGAAAACAAGGTTGTCGGCTCATTCCAAAGATTCCTGCATTTCTCTTTTCAGGGAACAATCCTATGAATGGTTGGGAGCACCTAACAACCATGTGAACTGAAAAACATATACATATTTATATATATATATATATATATATATACTACTCTAGTCCTATTTATAAGTCACTTTCAATATGTTTCACACAGACAGAAAAAAAATTTAAATTTCATTAATTCTCATTTAAAATTCAACAACTTTTAACTTTATCTCTATTTAATATATATTATACCTTATATAGACAAAGCCAATACAATAATAAATAAAAAGTAAAATTATACATTCATACAAAAAATTTCTCTCAATGCCCTAGAAATAGGATCAAAAAATGTATTTTCTCTTTTCCCTATAAATAGCACTAGAGGAGTTATAACAAATTAAAATAATTACTATAAAGTCTTCAAAATTTCTTTGATGGCGACAGCGTTTTAAAATTAACGTGATTTGTGCTTTACAGCTAAAAAATAAACAAATATCCACTTGCCTTCTGTATTCTATTCTTTTTTCTTCTTTTTTTTGTACACGCCGTCTATATTCTATTCGCTTGACTGTTTCTTCCCAACATCCTGGGAGTTCATCTCCAATCGGCGTGGAATCCATTATTACACGCCTATTTATGTTAAGACGGCCAGCCGGAGCAGAATTTTTAATGGAAGCATTCCAGGGCAGCTCGTAAATATAGCCCTTATTAAGGGACCACCGAAAAGGATGGAGTGAGTTCAACGGGTTAAATTATTTAACTTGTCTTAATTTGATCGATGGGTTGAAAATTTAAACCCGACTCACAATGCAAGTTAAAAAACTAACTCGTTTAATCTAAAAGAAAATTAAAAATAATAATACCCACATAGTTCAACGTTTAATTTTTTTATTGGGTCAGCTCATCTCGACAGCTGCTTATTATTAATAAATATATATATATGGGTGAGAAAATAAAGGCTTGTTTGTCCTTTTGAGGGTATTTAGATGTCCATTTCCATGGAGAATTATTTAATTAGAATTGTTGCTAGTTTTGGTGAAGTAGGCGCTAATTAAACAAAGGGTCAATAACTGGATGATCTAAAAAAGAAAGGGAAAAACGGCTCGAAACAAGCCCATATTACGTGTGGCATATCATGTGTTGACGTATGAAGGTAGGCGCTGGCATGAATATCACGGAACACGACAAAAATAGAAGAATAGCACTCCACATTATTATTTTTGTGGTTTCTTAGTATGCGAATGAAGAATATGGTGAGTTATTGCGGGGGACTGAATTGTCATTTAAAAATCAAGTTTGTGGGTAATGAAGGTTTGGAGCTGGGGAAGAAAGTGATGGAGTAGTGGATTAATGTCAGGATTTGAAAGGCCACCACTTGCTGAATTCAGGCAGAAGAAGAGGACGTGAGTGGTGATAGTTTAATGGAGTAAATAGGCTGGCTTGGTGAGAGAGCAGGAAGATTCATTGTGGAGAAAGCAGAAGGAAGCAATATATATATATTTATATATATATATATATAATATGCATGGTGGGGAAGCAGTGCTTGGACAGTGAAGACAAATAAGGAAGGAAGGTGAGTGACCTTTCCGAGCATGAATAACAGGCAGCCTTGACCCGCTGTGATTGCTAAGGTCAAGGTTATCTCTACATCGTACCATCCACACCAAGCTGCCCACAAACCCCCCCCCCCCCCACTTATACCTTTCAATATTTTATGAACTGGACCAC